TTGGGTTTTTTTTGTTGTTTTACTGTCATGTATTTTAAGTATATTTTAATAGCTTGATTGTTTAATATTATTTTAAGGGGTGGGAGGGTTTATGGGTTTTATATTGGATTTCTATTGTATCTTTAAAATTATTGTAAGCCACTCTAGTTGCATTCTCAGAGGGATGGGATAGAAATAAATTTTATTATTATTATTATTATTATTATTATTATTATTATTATTATTATTACAGGGATAAGAAATGGGAGAAAAGCACTATGCTCCTGTCATGTTTGCATGATCACAGGATGATTTTCACATGACGTTGTGCACATACTGTATTTGTCCCATCTTGGAAGTGTAATGCTAATGCAACTTCTTATTAACAACAAAAAAGTGTTAATGACTTACCAATAATGGTTCATTAGTGCTATCATAGAATCATAGAGTTGGAGGAGAGTACAAGGGCAATCCACTCCAACCCTCTGCTAACGTTGAGGTGGAATCTCTTTTACTGTAGCTTCAATCCATTGTTCCAGGTCCTGTTCTCTGGAGTAGCAAAAAATAAGCTATCTCCCTCCTCAATATGGCATCCCTTTAAATATTTAAACAGGGCTATCATATCACCTCTTAACCATCTCTTCTCCAGGCTAAACATACCCAGTTCTCTAAGTTGTTCCTCATAGGGCATATTTTCCAGACCCAGACCCTTCACCATTTATTTTAGTCACTCTCCTCTGGACACACTCCAGTTTTTCAACATCCTGTTTGAATTGTGGTGCCCAGAACAGGACATAGTATTCTAGGTGGGGCCTGACAAAAGCAGAATACAGTGGCACTTTTACTTCCCTTGATCTAGATACTATACTTTTATTGATGCAGCCTAAAATCACATTGGCCTTTTTAACTGCCGCTTCACACTGTTGACTCATGTTCAACTTGTGGTCTACTAGGACTCTGAGATCCTTTTCACACAGAATCTCTTTTAGCCAGGTGCCTCCCATCTTATATCTATGCATTAATTTATTTATTTTTGCCATAAGAGCAGTACCTTATATTTCTCCATGTTGGAATTAATTTTGTTAGCTTTGGCCCAGCATTCTAATCTATTAAGGTCATTTTGAATTTTCATCCTATCCTCTGGGGTATTATCTATTTTTCCTAATTTGGTGTCATCTGCAGTTTTGATAAGCATGTCCCCTATTCTTTCATCCAAGTCATTGTTAAAGATGTTGAATAGCACTGGGCCCAGGACAGAACCCTGTGGCACCCCACTGATCACTTCTCTCCAGGATGAAGAAAAGCCATTGTTGAGCACCCTTTGGGTTTGGTCAGTCAACCAATTACTAATCCTTCTGATGGCTGTATTATCTAGCCCACATTTTAATATCTTGTTTGCAAGAATAATATGGGGGGCCTTGTCAAAGGTGTTACTGAAATCAAGACATGCTACATCTACCACATTCCCTTCATCCACCAAGCTGGTAATTTTATCCAAAGACGATATCAGATTAGTTTGGCATGACTTATTTTTGAGAAAGCCATGTTGCCTTTCTGTGATGATGGCATTCCCTTCTAAATGTTCACAGACTCTCTGTTTCATGAACTGTTCTAGAATATTTCCCAGTCATTGGGATCCTCTTTTCTCCCCTTTTTGAAGATGAGGACAATGTTTGCCCTCCTCTAGTCTGCTGAGACTTCTCCTATTCTCCAGGAGTTCTCAAAAATTATTGCCAGTAGCTCTGAGATTATGTTTGCCAGTTTTTTTAAAAATATCCTTGGATGTAGTTCATCTGGTCTTGGAGATTTAAATTCATTTAGGTTAACCAGGTATTTCTGTACTACCTCTTTACTTATTTTGTGCTTCATTTCCCCTATTGTGTCGTCTGATCCATTTTTCTCAGGTTGAGTACCCTTTTCCTTTTGTGAGAAGACTGAGGCAAAGAAGGTGTTGAGTAGTTCTGCATTTTCTCTGTCCCCTGTTAGAATTTCTCCATCTTCTCTGTGCAGTGGCCCTACCATTTCCTTCTTCTTCCTTTTGCTATGGACATAACCAAAGAAAACCCTTTTTATTTTTCTTAACCCTCTAGCAAGCCTGGCTCAATTTGCACTTTGGCTTCCCTGACTTTACCCCTTCGTGTGCTAGCTATTATTTTGAATTCCTCTTTAGTGATTTTGTCTCTTTTTATTTCTTATACATCTCACATTTAAAACTAAGTTCAATTGAAAGTTCTTTCATCATTCAACCTGGTTTCTTGAGACACCTCCCATTTTCCACCTCATTGGAACAGTTTGAGATTGTGCCTTCAGTATATTCCTTTTGATAAACTCCCACCCATCCTGAACTATGTTCTCCTTTAGTATTCCTGACCATCGGATCAATCCCAGTGTTTCCCTAAATTTAATGAAATCAGCTCACCTAAAGTCTAGAACAGGGGTAGGCAACCTTTCCCCTTTATGGGCCGAGGGACTTCAGCTCCCAGAATCCCAGGAGCTATTGGCCAACATGGGACTATTGGCCAACATGGCTGAGGCTTCTGGGAGCTGAAGTCCCTCGGCCCTTAAAGGGGAAAGGTTGCCTACCCCTGGTCTAGAATGAGTGTCTGACTATGCCTAGCTTTTCCTTTCCATTGTATAAGAAACTCTAGGAGAACATGATCACTCCCACCTAGGGATCCCAACACTTGCACCCCATTTACCAGGTCATCCCTGTTGGTTAGGATCAGATCTAAAATAGCTGATTCTCTTGTTGCCTCTTCCACCTTTTGGACAATGAAATTGTCTTTGAGGCAAGTGAGGAATTTGCTAGACCTTGAAATATTAGCTGAGTTTGACTTCAAGCAATTATCAGGAGAGTTGAAGTCACCCATCATTATTACATCTCTCCTTTCTCAGTATGTGGACATCTGTTCTAGAAAGGCATCGTCCAATTCCTGACTTGGGGGTCTGTAATAGACTCCCACAATAACATCTCTGCTGCACCAGAACAAAGAAGTCCAAACACCGTTAGTGGGTAACAAATGGCCACAACTTTATTCATCTGTACAGGGTCTTAAACAACGATTTGATAGCCATAAATCTTACCATTATTTAACTTCCTTCTTGACAGATGTGTATGTGTACATACCATAATTCCTGATGGAATCCTCACCATAAATCATTTCAAGCCATCAGGGATAAGTCATGCCCTAAACTAAGCATATGTCAACAAGGGTCATACATAAGTTGTCAAACATGTAATCAAATCTTCCCCCCCATCTAATTCTGACATCATCTTTATGATTGATGAGGTCAGAGATTTTAAGCTGTTGATGTAAACCAATCATCCATAGTAAATTACCAAATATTGACAAATCAGTTATCCAATTATCCCAAAGGGGGTGTCCCTTCCCCACCACAGCCTAGCTTGGCATCCCCCCCCCCCCCCCCCCCCCCCCCCCCATATAACTCTTTTGATGTGAGAAATGATGGAGTCCAAGTACAGATCACAGCCCACTGGGGAGAGATGAACCCCATCACCCCTGTACAGATGTGGCAATTCAACCCTAATTTGGTCATGCTCAACCCATGAGGCCCCCACAGCTTCCAACCTCCTCAAAACACCCCAATTCACCCAACAATGAGCTGCGTTAATGGCAGAGTCTTTCATTGTACCGGGCCAGGTTCATTGTGGCAAGAGCTGGGACCAAAACAAAATAGTGCTCGGTAACCGGTGTCATACTTCATGGAGGTCTGTGCTGATCCTCTGGACTAACTGCAATCCATGTTCGGTGTTGGAGGAGCAGGTTTTGTAAATCCAGCAGAGTTTAAAT